CGGGTAGGGCCGCTCGCCCGTGTGCACGCGGCGGTGGGCGATCAAGTTGGGCTTGTGCCGGAAGCGCTTGCCGCAGCAGGCACACTGAAAAGGACGGTCGACGGCATCTCCGCCGGGCCGGGGGGCAGTCACCGCGGGGCGGCCCCTCGGCCGGGGTCCCAGAGCTTTGGCTGCCGCCTCCTCCAGGGCCTCGGCTACGTGCACCCGCTTGTGAGCAACCAGCTGGTCCCACTGGGCAAAGCTCCGGCCACAGTTGCCGCATATGAAGGGCCGGGCTTCCGGCGCAGGAGGGTGGCACCGCCGCAGGTGAGCTCGAAGCTGCTTTCGTCGCCAGAAGCGTCTCTCGCATTTGGGACAAGCGATGGGCCGCTTTGCAGCCGAGTGGGCCCGCAGATGCAGAACTAGGGCCACCCAGCCTTGGAAGCTCTGCCCACAGAGGTGGCAGGCAAATCCCAGATCTGGGGTGGCAGCAGCATGGACCTGGCGATGCAGCGCTAAGAAAGGGGCATGGCGAAAGCGCTGGCTGCACTCAGGGCAGGGCAGGGGAAGTCGGGCCTGGCACCGACGGGCATGAAGCCACAGGGTCACCCAGCCTGGGAAGTGCCTTCGACAGTGGACACAGCGATGGGCCCTGCCTGGGGCTTGGCCATCCGGCGAGGTCATTGATGTGCCTTGTTGCCTCTGCCTGTGGGGCTCCTTGTCCAGGGTCTGAGATGACTCCTGGGAGGACCCAGAAAGGAGTCTGGGCTGGGCTGGGCCCATGGCCAGAGGGCCCCGGCAGCGACGTTCCAGCATTGGTTCTTCCTCTGCTGAGGGTGGAAAAGCACAGTCACTCTAGAGACCAACTCACCCTGCCCCTAGAGACCAATTCCCCTCCCAACCCCAGCCCCCCCCCAGAGGGGAAGGGCTGGCCATCTGTGAACCCCTAGAGCCCCCTCTTGACATGGATCTAGACAACTCTTCAATTTCCTTGTGTTACTATTTCAATGTTGGGTTTCTATATTAACATGTCAAGGATATTTATCTTATGTCTGTATTGCCCTGACAACTTCCAGAAGGAAGAGACTCTATCTGACACTTCTTGGAATCCTCCTGGCAGCTATGCTAGTGTCAGGCAGGGAGCAAATACTCCAGCACCAAAGCACAAACATTCCTGCCATAGGACTCATTGGAAAATGCGGTCACATTCACTACAATGCCTTACGCTTTTCACAGTGCTTCCGTGTTGCTGAGCTTCACAGCAACTTTGTGAGGGCTGAACAGATACTGAGCTCCCTGTCTGAAAGATAAAGCAACTGGCCAGGCGCAGTGGCTCATGCCTGTAATCCCAGCACTTTGGAGGCAGAGGCCAGAGGATTGCCTGAGCCCATAGGTTCGAGACCAGCCTGGGCAACTTGGCGAGACCTCATCTCTACAATAAATCAAAAATTAGCCAGGCATGGTAGCACACGCCCATAGTTCCAGCTACTTGGAAGGCTGAGGTGGAAGGATCACTGGAGCCCAGCAGGTCGAGGCTGCGGTGGTCAGGAGCATGCCCCTGCACTCGAGTCTGGGTGACAGTGAGACTCCAACTCAAAAAAAAAAAAAATTTAGCTGAGCATGGTGGTGCACACCTGTACTTCCAGCTACTTGGAAGGCAGAGGTGGAAGGATCACCTGAGCCCAGCAGGTACAGGCTGCGGTGGCCGTGAGCATGCCACTGCACTCCAGCCTGGGCAACAGAGTGATACTCGGACTCAAAAAAAAAAAAAGAAAGAAAGACAAAGCAAATGTGAGGCATCAAAAAACTGACAGGACCTGCCTGAGTTGACATAGTAAACCAACAGCAGAACCAAGACTAGAGGACAATGTTCTTCTAACCTCCCAGGTCAATGTTCTTTCCTCTAAAACACTTGAGTTTGCAAAGATCTCCCAGAATAATGTGTCTGTAGCCTTTAACCCTCTCACACCACAGGGAAGGTCCTTTCAGCTTCACTAACCTCAATCTCCCACTGTAGAAGCCTGGAGAGCAAATAAGAACAGCCTATTTCAGGGAATAGGAGGCACTACTCTCAGCATAGCCCAACCCCAGGCCATGGCCTGTCCAGACTGTGCCTACATTCTGCCCGCCTGCCCTCTTTAACCGTCACACACACACACACACACACACACACACACACACACACACACGATTACGAAATCGCAGGAAGGAAAGCTCTCCCTGAATCCAAGGAACACCCACAGTTTGCTGCCCTCAGGGCAGGATCCCTGGCTCTGCCTCCCTTGGGGTGCTGGGGATTATTGGGGCAAAAGAAGGGGAGGGAGGATGAGATTGTAATCTCTGTCCCCTGCCTGGTCCTGCCCCAGCCTCGCTAGGGGCTGCCCCACATTCAGCTCTTCCACAGCTCAGGGTAACCCAGATTCCTCCTACATGGAAAGGGGGCTGGGGTGGCAGTTAGACTCCTAAGGGACCTTCAGTGGCTGCTCACAAGCTCCAGACACATTCTCCTAAATTCCCTAAAGCCTATTCTCCTCTCAGGGAACACAGACATGACTCATTCCCCGTGTCAGACTGAGCACACGGAAGACTCCCAGAGTATGAGAAAGGGCCCTTTCCTTCCACCAAGATGGGGGGGGGGAGGTGTGCATTGGGGTTTGGAGTGGTTTGGGAACACAGCAAAGGCCAGACTCTACCCTGGAGACTGTGGAGCTGGGGATGAGGTTTTTTCCAGCTCTTCCTGGGGATGTTCCTGGGGATACTTCTGTGGTTGCAACGCCTGCTTTGGCCCACACTCCGGTAGCCCCCAGACGTCAGAGAAAACTGCAGCAGTAAAGACACCCCTATCCCCATGGCAGAGCTCAGACCTCCGACTGCAGAGAGGCCAGCCTTACCTGTAGGATGGGGAGAGAAAACAAGAGTGAGGTTCTGAGCTCCTCCAGGACAGTCATCTTTGTGTTCTCACCAGCTACAACCCCTCCCCCCACAAAGCTACTCACTCTAGCCTTAAGCCCCACACCCTGCTTGGTGGAGTGACCTTAGTGGATAGTGGATTAATAAACGAATGTACCCCTTCACCAAGGAAGCACATTGCTGCCTTTGAGGGTCACTTCCTCCCCTGGTAAGGTCACAGAACGAATTGTCCATTCTATGGCCAGAGTCTGGGCCTTTCCTGATGGCCAAAGGCCGGCCTATGGCAGTAACTCTGGAATCTCTGCTGGCTTCCTTTCCCCCACCCTCCTCCCAACAGGAATTCCAGGCCTGTTTCCCATGGGGCAGCGCAGGGCGAGCTCGTGTGACCAAGACTCGGTCAGAATCCCCTTCCGCAACTTGACTGGCCACGGTGGCAGACGCCCCACACCCCCCTTTTGTATTGGTGCGTGTCCTCCGTCCACGATCACAGCACACGGGACCCGCTCCAACGAGTGAGCCATTTCGGGTCCCACGCACCGCGCAGCTCGCGAAGCCTGTGCGCAGGTGCGCTCCCCCCCACGCCGCAGACCCAACAGTGTCTCCCCCTCCACGCGCGCACGCACACACACACACGCGCACACAGTCGCGCACACACTCACGGTCACGCGCCCCGCAGGTGGAGCCG